GTATGCAAGATATAAATGTAAGACCATGAAACTTAAGGTAGAATATAAAGTTCTTAAAAATAATTGGGGCGAGGAAACATTTGTTAAATAAAAAAAACCCAAAGTACAAGTCATATAGTAAAAACCGATTTTGACAAAATCAAAATCAAAGACCTCTGTTCAGCAAAGGTTTCTGTAGAATAGAGTAGCATATGGTGGCAGATTAGGACAAACTTACACCTGCAAAAACCAATGAAAGACTGATTTAAAAAGTGCAAGGGACTCTTAGGGCCCAACCAAAAACAAAGATAAACAGTTGAAGTCACTGTGTCCGCCCTCCAGTCTACCATCAGAGAGAAAGTAAATCAGTCTGTGGCAGTAGGCCTATTAGCAGTGGTGTGACTTTCAGTCTTTGAGACTTACTGAGCCCTCCAAACTCAGTGTCTCTTTGAATTAACAAAAAAACAAGGTTCTAGGATGCTATGCACATTCATAACACCACAGAGTCCTAATCATAAGCACGACTTTGCACAAAACAAAGTATTCTCATCAATTATTGTCTGAATTTCATCAGTTGACTGTAAGTCTGAAATCTGCCAGTAGGTATATTTCTCAGACATTCTTAGAAAAGTTCACGAGGATCAGCTGTGAAAAACAGTGCTTATAATGAAATTGTTGTTTAGTGTGTAGTGTTGGAGCCCCACAAATTCTCCTTCCATTTTGTAAAGAGCAAACACATTCAGCTGAGTGACCTGGTTCTTAAATGATATGAAGAACCTTATAGGCAAAGACATCAGACAGAGGGGCTGGAGAGATGGCTCAGAGGTTAAGAGCACTGACTGCTCTTCCAGAGGTCCTGAGTTCAAGTCCCAGCAACCACATGGTGGCTCACAACCATCCTTAATGCGATCTGGTGTCCTCTTCTGGCGTGCAGATATACATGGAGGCAGGATGTTGTATTCATAATAAATACATAAATCTTAAAAAAAAGAGATCAGACAGAGTTCCACTCCCAAAGAGGAATCAGGATGCTCCTGGGTGTGATGCACGGGAGAAAAAGCCCTTTAGGGTACTTGAAAATGGGACAGGACATATCAGATCACTGTTAGATATGGGAATAGATTGGAGTGGGAGGCTCCCAGAAAGCAAGAGGACCAGCAAAGAGGCAGTATGGCTTAGAAATGTTCTGACTTGAACAGGTAGTGTAAGTAGATATGGATAGAAAGAAACATCTGAGAGGACTTAGGAGGAAGTGGTAAGAGGACATGTTATGATGAGGATGAAGAAGGCATAAACTAAGGATAATGTAACGTTTTGGGGTTGGATTTAAGACAATGGTCACATTATTAATTGAGATCTGACATACAAAGGAGCATTTCCTGCAGTTTATAATTATGCTTATAAGTAAAGAAAAATCATTGGTTTTTATATTCAGAATCTTTAATGTTTTGTCAAAAAGAAAATCACAGAAGCAATTATTTACTAATGATTAGTGTGTTGTTTCCAGTGCAGCCTGATTCTATAGCCCTTGCTAGGAGCAGTGAGATAATGTACACCATATAGAAATACAGCACAACATAGAAAAGCAGGGGTTGGGGGGCCATGGCCACTCTGATGGAGTGGCACAAACTACCACAGCAACCTGGAACCACAGTGAATTTGCTATGTATGGCACAGGAGGAGGAATTGGCTAGTTTGGTAGTAGCTGCCTGTAGCTGAGTGGTGTCAGGCTGTAAACACCTGGGAGGAAGAAGCAGCAGTTGCTAGTTCTTGCACACACCTGTTGGTTATTCATAGTCACTCACACTTGTTCACACTGTCAACATACATAGTAGGGCCATGGAAAGGCTTTGAGCCTCACCCCAGAGGGAAGGCTTTGACAAATTCCCATGATATACCCATGTCACACAATACACATTCAATCAGGACGTCATCTACAGCTAACACATTCACTCAAGGAATCCTCCACTCCCTATAGATGCGGTAACTGGTATTATGGAATATATGTACAGTAATGATATGAGGCAGGAGACATCAACACTGCATTGAGAGGGGCAGAGAGTAGAAGCTAAACTGTTAAGCTGTATGTTAAACTGTAGACCCAGATACCTGGGTTTGCATCTGGCTCTTAACCCTGAGTGCTGATGTTCCTTTGTCATGGGCCTATAATCCAGGATCATCTACACAATATGATTGAGACATTCTTTAAATCAGAATGTGTGGAAGATGTAAAGCGGGTGAGCCAGGATCAAGGGAAGATCTATAAAAGGTACTGGAGCCCAGTTTGGCAGGTGTTGAGAACTTGGTGACCTGTGATCGTGTTAAGAGGCTGTGGAACCTTTAAGGAGTCTAATAGAAGTCTTCAGGTCCTGGGGAACACTGGCTTTGAAGAGATAAGGTAGCTCTCCTGGGGCCCCTGAGATTGTTACAAAACATCAAGCCCATACATTTTATATACTCCTTGGCTTCCTGTCTTGAGTTGCCTCTCCCATGCTCCTGGTCTTTGATTTCATACAACACAAGGTGATCTAGCCAGGAGAGACCCCATTGGATACACCACCGCACTACTTAAACTTTTGGCCTCTGAAACTGTAGGCTAAATGACTCTCCTGTCAACAAATTATCCACTTTGGGCATTTTCTTAAAGCAGCAGAAAACTTCCAAATACATGGGCTAGCCTTGAACCTGTCAAACAGACAGACAAGTGAAAGAATACATGCAAATTCATGGGGCCAGACAGAAAAGATGATCTGGGAAAATTTGATTATTGCAGTATCTCTGGAAGGTATAGTGTGTACATCTTGTGTCACAGGCAATTGGGGCTGGACATGGCACCCTGTGTAGGATTGGTTTTACAAAACCCAAATCTGATAGTCTTTGTGGCCCTCCCTTCCGTTGCCTGCCAGGGCCCACTCCAGGCTCCCCTTCCCTTGCTTGCTTTTTGTCTTGAATGGTTACTCATGGATTGACATGGTTGGTTAAGATTTTGACCTATACAATTCTCTCTCCACTTCAGTTATGATTGCCAAGACAAAAAGCCAAAATTTCCTTGTTAGAACATTTCCTGGTTCCCACAACATCCTATTTCACCGTTACCACTAAGGTGGACCTCCCATCGCTCAGGACTCATTCTGATCCTGGGATGTGAAACACTGTATTGTGTTATTGGGTTAACCCTGGGTTTTCTTTTGATCAGTGTTCAGATTTTTGTGCTCCCTGTCTGCTCCATGTTGTATCTGAAGAGGTTCTTCCAGACTCCTGTGCCCCTTGAACTTGCGTAGTCACACGGTCAACAAGAAATAGCTAGGAACAGTTAGAGTCTAGCTGTGCTTTTATGGGTATGAAATGGAATGAATGCTTCTGTAATCTTGCTCATGTTCTTTGGGCTAACTGAATCTAAGCCTGTATTTCCAAGAAGATCCACCTCAATAGCAGGTAGCTGGAAAGATAATGAACATGCTGACCTTTGTTTCATAATCTGAAGTTTTTTTCTTTTGAGACAGGTCTCCTTATACATACTTGGCTGGACTAGAGTTAGCTCTATAGATCAGACTGGCCTTGAACTCATAGAGTTCTGACTGCCTCTGCCTCCTAAATTAAGTGCTGGGACTAAACACATACACTACTCCCAGCAGAAATCTATAATTTTTATAGGAACAATTCAAAAGGATATATTGCCAGACAAACTGAGGACAGATAGACTGACTAAATGTGAATTGAAACTTTAGGTTATTAGGGGGGAAAAGTAAGTCTCAACAGAGAAAGGAAACAAGGAACTGCCAGAAACAGGTTTTCTTTCTAGAACAGGAAGGTCATCGTCAAGGTGGAGGGAAACAAGTTACTTTAAAAAGATCATGGCTTGACCACTGCAGAGACTAAGGAGGTGGACACATGGGGACTATACACAGGGGCCATCCCGAAGTATAGCAAACTGACACCAGGCGACTCCTGTGCGGAATTACCCTGGAGGACCTGTAACCTTGTCAAAAGGGCATCCAGACTCCAGACTCAAGAGACGGAAGGAAAAGCTGTAATTGCTGCTAGGTGGCCTTTGGCAAAGCCCCTGCCTTTTTGAGCCTTAGGTTCTCACATGTTTAACACAGGAGAGGAAATAAAACAAACAGCTTTTCTGCCTTAGGTATCCAAGAAAGTCCTAACAAACGAGAGAAAACAAAGGGGGAAGTGCTGCCTGAGGCTGCAAAGCCAGCACAAAGGGCATACATTGCAGTCATTACTGCGGTGGCACAGGGGAAGAAATATAAACAGAAGCATGTACTTGATTTTCAAGCGTTGGCCCGTCTGTGGGAACAGGGAAATATCAAGGGCAGAGGTCTGACCTAGGGATAAAATTACCAATTCATTCCACCTTCCTCTCAGGGTTCTTATGACAATTAACTTGCCAAGTTTCAACCACAAGACCATATGTTTGCTAGGTCACGTGGAGGAATGGGGTTTATTCTGATATTTGTTTGTAGATTCGAGATATCACACTGGACAAATTCAATCTGTCAGGAGGCTTCCCTGTACATGAACCTGTGAAAGTATTCCATATGCATATGAATTAAGAGAAAGTTTAATTTATTGTATTTAGTGTGTCTGAGTGTCGGGCCTATGTGTAGTGTATTAAGTACCACATGTATGCCTGCTTCCCATGAAGCCAGAGGAAGTGCTAGCAACTGGAAAGTCTTGAAAACCCTTCTGAACTAGCAAAAAATATTCACATATGCCATGGACAGTTATGGTATTTAATGGACATTAATATTCTAATTGTTTTGTCAGTTGCTAATTGGTGATGTCATCCCAACTAGGTTATTTGAGCAACCAAACCACTCATCCATCTGAACACAAGGACGAAAACATACTATTCCCTTAGAAGCTTTGCTTTTGTAACTACATGCAACATTACTAAGTTCAGACACTACTGGGGCCGGAGACATAGTTCACTTGTTAAGAGAGCTTGTTACCCCTCCCAAGGACCCAAGTTCAGTTCCTGGCATGCACATTGAGAGGCTCCCAGTTACCTGTACCTCCAGCTCCAGAAGACTGATCACTCTCTTCTGGTCCCCATGGGCACCTGCATACAAATACACAGACGCATAGCCACACATAAGTAAAACAGGAATCTAAAATTAGAGATGGAGCCATTATTCCTAAGCGAGATTTCTGAGTTATTAAGTCAACCCATCAGACAAAATTCCCTGCTTCTCTGGCCTTCCCTCTCTGTTTACTTTCGTACAGTTTGTTTTTACCGCAAAGACTCTGGCATTTTCCTAAAGGCGCCATCCTATTCTGGAGTCAGAGATAGTGCTCTCTGCCTTCAGAATTCTCCAAGCAGGGCGAGCAAAGGTTAGCTCTCCGCATCCTGTTGACTAATGCTTTGAGACTCAAAAAAGGCCTTATCCTCTAGACCCCTCCCCCCACCCCGGCCTGGCATAAATTCATCCTCTCTGGATCTGGGCCTCAACGTTTCTCAGGGAGATCTCACAGCTAATCTGCTTTTCTGGTGCCCCAATCTGCAGGCTCCTGGGGATGAAGAGTGAATCGCTCATCTTCATAGTCCCCTTTCCCAACCTCGAGTCCACATGAAGTACGGCTCAGGGCATCTTCAGGGCACATGGATGCCAAGGGCCTCCTCTGCTTAGATTCACTTCTGAGGGGGGTTTGCTGTCCAGATCCCCTCTTTTGAGTGTCCCTGTTGGCTCAGGAAAACGAGTTTTTCCTTAGAACAAATGGGCGTGGAGTATGAAAATATCATGCAAGATTAGTCAAATGCTGCACTGCTTCCTCCAGGCCCCGCCCTGAGCGTGACTTTCAGGCAGTTTAGGAGTGGAGCTTTGTGGCAGGTGGATGGTGCTGGGGGTGGGGGAGAGCAGTTGTGTGGCAGGGTGAGCAGCTGGGAGACTGGTGAGCAGTTTCAGGAGGACTTGTGAGCAGCTGTGGAGTGGGCCCTGGTGAGCAGTGACTTTGGAGAATCTTGCTTGTCCCCAGAACTCTGTTCCAGCTGGGAAGGTAAGATTGCCAACGTTTTGTGTGAGCCACAGTACCAGGCATGTTCTTGCAGCTACCTGAGTTCTCCTGTTGCCCTAAACCTATTGTGGTGACTCTTGGGACTGTAACCTGAATAATAGGCTCACATGGAATGCAGGTGAAATTGGCCAGACTGGGGTTGCTAGAAACAAACAGGACATCGATGTTGTGGGTGCTGAAGGTGTGGAAGAATTCACTGGGAGAAACACTAAGCGTTAGAGGAACTGAGAATTCATGGGTGAATGGTGCAGACCTAAGTGATTCCAGGGAAAGAGAAGAAGAAATGGAGGGAGTGTCAGAGGATCAAAAGATAGGACAAGCAGGCCGACAGACAGATAGACAGACAGACAGACAGACACACACGCGCACGCACACACACACACACACACACACACACACACGGAAAAGCTCAATTTCTAAGTTCCAACTGGTGAGGTTTGTGTGTGAACATGCCATTCTAGAACAATTTTCAGAATGATATTTTGATACATCTCTAACAGAGATGGATTGCTAACTAATGAAGCACCTGTTAAACATTAATGAAAACGTTCCAACTGAACAGTAGAACATACTTGTGCATATTTGTGTGTGTGTGTGTGTGTGTGTGTGTGTGTGTGTTGCCATTACAGAGGGACAGTCAAGAATGTGGAGTGAGAAATTTAGAGACAAGTTTTTGTTTTGGGGTTTTATAGAGAACCATTGCAGGGATACCTTTTATTCTTTTTTGTTGTTTCTCACTAATTAAAAGAATCATAATGCTATAAATACAGTGAAGGAAATTCTTTGCTTTCTGCAGCATCAGTAAAAACCAGAGGCGATGCAGTAGGCTACTATACGGCCTCTAAAATTAAGCATGTGTGTGCGTGAACATACAGGATGTGGTGAAATGAAACGCCCGAAGCACAGGTTGGGACGGCAGCTTTTGATAGCGCCTTACACGCCTGAGGGCAAGGCAGGCGTACAACCCTTTTGCTTAGCTTTACCTACACGCTGCTCTTTTACAAGCTCTCTATGAGCCAGCCTGGTCTACTTCTTACATGAGGAACAATGTTAAGAGGGAGCACACACGAGAGAAGGAGAACAAGGAACTAGAGAGCAGACACCAAGTACCACCAGAGTGAAGGGAAGGTGTGGGTTGACCCGTTTCATGGTAGGAGTGGATGAAGTTGCTGTACTAATTGAGAGGCTGTGCATTTCCAACAGCGCTCAACAGACACTTGCTGCTAGATTCATAATTAAATATTGACCTTTTACAAATTAAAGTGTACTGTTAAGTGGAGGAGGAGAATACAGTGAGGAACAGTAGGCAACACACAGACTCCTAGACATTTTCCAGAGAATCAGGGACACAGAGCTGAGTAGGATGTAGGGGCTGAGAGCTGAGAGATAACACCTTCTAAACTGCACATTCGTCTGTTATTAATTTTCAAATTTAGAATGCAAAAATTATGGATTTCCTTGTTTGTTACATAGATCCCTCTGTACTTTCCACATATCATGTATCAATTACCAATTTTCCCTCTTTACCCCTCCTATAATCATCTTCCACACCAAATAATACCCTGTCTAATTTCATGTCATATGTTGTATATACATGCATATATTAAAATCTAGAGCTTACATATGAGAGAATACATGATATCTTTCTTTAATCCCACTATTACCCTATTTTGTTCCCCTTATCTTTTCTTTCTGATTTCTTCTTTCTATCTCATACTATTTTTTTTACTTTCTACACACACACACACACACACACACACACACAGGCACTACACATTTAAATCTAGATTATGCATTTGAGAGAAATATGCAAAATTAATCTGAATTTGACTTACTTTGCTTAACATGATGACATCTAGTTCTGTCCATTTTCCTGTAAATATTATAACTCCATTCCTCCTTATGGATGAACAAAAGCTCTTGTGTATATGTGACACATATTCTTTTGCCACTTATGTGTTAGACACTGGTCTGGTACCATAGCTGATATGAATGGTGTTGCAATCAACATGAATGTGCAGGTATCTCTGTGGTATGCTGATGTAGAATCCTTGAGTTTTATATCCAGGGATGGCATAGCTCCATCCTGGGGATATTTCTATTCTCAGCTTCGAGAGTCTCCATATTGATCACCATTGTGGTTTCAATGGTTTGTATTTCCACCAGCACCATGTAAAGCTCTCTTTCCTGAATTTTTGCCAGCACTTGCTGTTTTCTTCATGACATACACTCTAACTGGTGTGACTTAGAGTTTCAGTGATGTTTTGATTTGCATTTTCCTGATGGTAAAGGACGTCATACACTTTCATGTGTTTACTGACCCTGTGTGTGTACATGTGAGTGAGTGTACGTATACGGCAAATGTTTGTATTCATCTGTGTATGCAGGGTTGAGTGCTTATATGAGTTACACATGTGTGGAGGTCAAGGGCTGGCATAGTATGGCTGCTTAATTTGCTATCAACCTTATTTTTTAAGACAAGGTCTTTTATACTAAAGCTCTGACTTACTAATTGGCCAGATTGGCTGGCCAGCATGTTTCAAGGATCCTCCTATCACACTTGTCTCTCTGACCACGCTGGAATTGTGGACATTCACTTCCCAGTCTAGTTTTTAAGTAGGCACTGAAGTTCAGAAAACTCATATTCTCATGAATGTGTGGCAAGTATTTCACCAACTCTGAGTCATCTCAGCCCTTGCATTTCTTCTTTTAAGAACTAAATCATTTTCTCATTTATTAACTGGATGACTTGTAAGATTTGTCTATGTTTTATTTTTTAATCCTTTATAGACTATAGGCATCAATTTCCTGCCCAATGCAGAGTTGTTAAAGATTCCCCAATTTCATAGGATATCTTTCCACTCTATCAATTGTTTCCTTTGCTGTGCAGAAGTATTTATGTGACATTCAATAGTGCTATCAACCCTTGCTTTTGTTTCCTGTACTGTTGGAGAACTTCCAGAAAGTCCTTGCCTGTGTCAGTACTTGAAACATTTCTATTATGTTTTTTCTTCTGCTAAAGGTTTAAAAGTTTCAGGTCTAACATTAAGGTATTTGATCTACTTGGAGTAGAGTTTTATACAAAATGTTTGGTATCGGGTTTCATTTTTTCATCATAGTTTTCCCAATAGAGTAAGTTGAAATGGCTGTCTTTTTTCTATTGTATGTTTTTGGTGCATTTGTCAAAAGATAGAAGGTGGACCTCAAACTATATTACAGAGCCACAGTAGCACATTATTTCATGCATTGGCACTAAAGCAGTCAGAGGTGAACTTATGTAGCTACAGCTTTTGACATATGGACCAAAACCACATCTTTTCCTGACTCTAGGACATTTTCTGTTATGAATGCTTTAAAAATGTTTCTATGCCTTTAGAATTTATTCTTCTCCTTCTTGCATGCCTGTTAGCCATGGACTTAGTCTTTTCAGAATGCCATGTCTATGTTATTTTATCTCTTCCTGGGTTGTCTTGTTCCTCTACCTTGTCTTCAAGCCTGGCTGTTCTTCCCTCTCCTTGGTCTAGTCTCTTGTAGGAACTTTCCACAGAGCTTTTCATTTAACTTAAGTTTTTCATGTATAGTACTTCAGCTTCTTTTTCAGTATTTGTATCTTGTTGAATTCTTCTTTCATAACTTACAGTCTTCCTTATTTCATTTGGCTGTTTGTGCTCACAGTAATGATCTTAATTTTTTTCTTTGATTTCTGAACGGATATAAAATCATTCTTGGAGAACTCTGGGTGTCTTTGCTACTGTCCTATTGCTGTGAAGAGACACCATGACCACTGCAGCTTATAAAAGGAAGCATTTAGTTGGAAGCTTGCTTATAGCTTCAGAAAGTCAATGCATGATTATCATGGCAGGAAGCATGGCAGCAGGCAGGCAGGCAGGCATGGAGCTGGAGCAGTAGCTAAGAGTTTACATCTTAATTCACAGGCAGTAGGAAGAGAGAAAACACGATTGGGCATCACATAAGCTTTTGAATCCTCAAAACCAACCCCCAATGACATACCTCCACTACCAAAGCCACCCCTACTCCAACATGGCCACACCTCCTAATCATTCCTAAACTGTCCATCAAACGGGAAACACACATTCAAATATATGAGTTTTTGGAGGCTATTCTCATTCAAACTACCACACTGAGATTTTGCCCAACTTATAGTCACCAGATGCCAATACTATAAGATTGATAGTTTTTGGAGGAGTTAAAATTGCCTTGAATTTTTTCATTTATCCTCTTATTACATAGAATGCCTCTGGTGTCATCCCTTTTCTTGGTTTATTTTATATCAGAAGTATTCTTTTAGTTGAAATATTTTTAGTATTCATGTTGAATGTACACTAAAAGAGCTGAGTGTGTCATTCAGAAAATAGTACCTCAGATGAGTGGTATAAATGTTAATCAAAAGAGTCTGACTTGTATCTATTAAGAAGATATGGAGATTTCTGTTGGGTGTATTTATGAAGTATATTATGTTTATTGATTTTTATATGGTGGTCATCCTTGAATCCTTGGAATTGATCGTGGTTCATCATCTCCATAATGTGTTTTTAAATCCTATTTGCAAATATTTTTTTGAGAATTTACATCTGTGTTCATCAGTGAAGTTGGTTTTTAGTGTGAATATCATATTTTAATGTTCATAATATTTCATTTTAATGACCATAATAATCTATCACCTGAACATCATTTGGGAGGGATTTAAGTACTATTTTGAGAGAAAGAGAAAGAGATAGACAGAGAGAGACATATTCTGGGAAGTATCAAATTTTAAATATTTTCAGAGAAAAGAATTGGTATAGTACATAATACATGCACACTCCTTTGGAAAAGCTATTAGAATGACTTTATAAAGTGTGCTCAACTATTATGATCTTACTCATTTTAAACTTATTTTTCTAAATCTATGAAATTCAGTTATGACTACAACACATTTCAGATAGTTCAGATCTCACATAGTGATCTCAGGAGTGGAGAGA